ATTTTTAAAATTTGGTAACCCCAAAAGTCAAAGTATATAAAGTACTTAGTGTGCAATTCTTTATGTGCCACATTGTTTACCCCACTTAAATAAAAAATTACCTTTATTGCTTAATCTCTTTCCTTAAATTTCATTTTTAAATTGCCCATTCCCTTGAAGATTTTTAGAGGGGGAAACGCTAAACCCTAGGGGTTAATAGCGCTTTGTAAAGAAAGGTTTTGATTCAGTTAAAAGGGAAAAAAAAAAAGGCCCAAATTTCCTTTTGGGCAAGGCCCCTCTCCGGGATAAAAAACTAGAAAGTAGAAATGATTGTCGACAGTGACTTAGTGTTTAAAAATTTAATGAGAGAAAACGCTAAACCGACAAGGGCCTCAGTTGTTTAAACTTTTATGGTTTGAATAAGATATTACAATGACCCCAATGGAAATAAGTCACTGACTTTTTGGGGTTATAATAAGTAATCTATACATGTGCTGCTATGTATCATAATTTATGTGTACTTATACCTAAATAAACTTACTGACTTTTTTGTGTTATCCTCGGTAATTCACCCCTGTTTGCTCCGTCCCTTTTCTCTTCGCCTACATTCGCTCTTGTCTTCCCTTCAGTTGCCACCTTTATATGTTCATGTAGCATCTCACTTTTCCCTACCCCCCTGGGAAGTTCCAGCTGTTCAGGTCTGTTCTTTCTCACTCCCTTGCTCGAAAGCCCAACTTCCCGCTCTCTTTTTCTTGATCACTTCCACTCTCATTCTCATGCCATCGCTGTGTACACAGATGGCTCTAAGTCTTCAGACGGCGTCGGATTCGCAGCAGTGTTTCCGGACAGCGTCGTGCGAGGGCATTTACTATCTTCGGCTAGCATTTTTACTGCTGAATTGCATGCCATTCTTGTAGCATTTATTCGTATCGCATCTATGCCTGTGTCATTCATCATTTGTGGTAGTCTTAGACTCCCTTAGTGCTCTACAGGCTATACGAAAATTTGATACACCTCACCCCCTGTGATGTAGTCCAGCTGGGCTTGTGAGGTCTCTGGGGAGACCTAATTTAACCAATTATATGGTCACACCTTGCCTTGGCAGACGTCTGTAGCCACGCCCACGTCTGAGGTCTTTTGTTCTTAACAGCGTCAGAGCTCGGCGTCAGGTCGCAACACGTGGTACATACACCGTTGTGGAGGGTGCTTGGACCACCATAAAAGCCCAAGGAAGAGCATGATCAGGAGACTCGAGCGGAGCTGCTGCCGGGGTGCAGAGCTCCTGAGCAGAGATTCGAGCGGAGCTGCTGCTGGGGGTGCAGGGCTCGGGAGAAGGCTGCCGAAGTCTCTGGAGGAGGAATGTTGGAGGCATTGGGGAGAGTAATGGCTTGGCGCATTACTCGTGCTGTATAGGTCTTGGGACCTGTTTGGCTTAGTTCCTGTAGTGAACTGTCCTCTGTGCTATTTTTGTAAGTTTATTCATTTTCGTCAAGTTGATTGTATTTCCCTGTCTCACTGCTTATGTGTACCACCCCATTTATCTAAACCAATGATGTACTCCTGTTCCCAAATATATTATTGTACAAGGACTTAATAATAAACTGAGTTTGAGTAGAATAGTAATATTCACTGTCCCTGTTACTTGCTATTCATATTTCTTATATTTTATTATGTTTATATATGAGTGAAGAGTGGGCGAGGCATATGTGAGTATTGTAGAGTTAATGAGAGTGTCGTGGTATCACCACTGACCTGTCATTACCTACCTACCTCCGCTAATCATCTCACTCCTAACACTGCGCCAGCCTCTCCCCTGCCTACATAATCCCTTACTCCCATATTCCCCACTTATATCCGATACATTCCAAGCCCCCCTACATGACACCCCTAGTTCTCCGTATCCAACTTTGGCTACGCCGTATCTCTACCAAGCATAAAGATATTGTTTTTTGTTGGGTCCCTGGTCATGTTGACGTACAGGGCAATGAACAGGCAGACACTGCTGCGCGGTCAGCAGTACATGACCTACCAATTTCATATAGAGGTGTTCCATTTCTGGACTATTTTGCTGTAATAGCTACCCACCTTCACACCCGTTGGCAACAACGTTGGTCAACTCTGCTCGGTAACAAACTTCATTCTATTAAACCGAGCATAGGTTACCGGCCGTCTTCTTGTCACCAGTGCCGAGGTTGGGAGACTACTCTCTCCCGCCTTCGCATTGGCCACACTCATCTTACTCATGGGTATCTCATGGAGAGGCGCCCTGTTCCTCTCTGTGAGCAGTGTCAAGTTCCAATATCGATTAGCCACATTCTGTTAGACTGCCCTCTCTATCAACGAGCACGCAGAATTTACCTCCAACGTCGTCTCCGCTCTACTACTCTCTCTTTACCTTCCCTTCTTGCTGATGGACCCTCCTTTAATCCTGACTCTCTCATTGACTTCTTGACAACGACTGATTTACTCCACAAACTCTGATGATACTTTTCGCACTCCCCTCAGCCCTTTCTACCTCAATCTCTTGCTGCCCTCTACCCTTTCACCATCCACTGCCCTGTTGTTCTTCGTAACCTATTACTCATCTATCTCCCTTTTGCCACCTGATACCCTCGCTTCATTCCCGCCCTGCAGCGCTGTATAGCCCTTGTGGCTTAGCGCTTCTTTTTGATTATAATAATCGGTAATTCACACGTATATTACTATGTATGATAATTTGTGTAACTGTATTTATATATACCTGCGCCTAAATAAGTTGAGTTACTTAGCTGTTTTAACTTTTAAGCTTTAAGTAAGATATTACAAGGACCCCAATAGAAATAACTTACTGACTTTTTTTGGTATATTCTAGGTAATCTACACATATGCTGTAATGTATGATAATTTATGTAACTGTATATATGTGTAACTGTACCTGAATAAACTTGCTTACTTACTACCAATTTATTTACTACTTGAGTCAATTTACTATTTGCTATACATAAAAACAGATGTACAACTTGAACAAACTACGATCTATTATTCTGGTATTACGTAGTCTGTAAACCATTAAATTTAAGTAAGTTCGGGTACATATATATACAAATACAGTTACATAAATTATAATAAACTTACCCTGAATACTGATAAAACATATTTCATTCAGCTGCAAATCATCCAATTAACATAACGCTAAACGGATCATCAGTCACAAGACTTAGAGGGAAAATTCCTAGGTATCCACCTTGACAGTAGCCTTAAGTTCCAAACACACATACAACAAATCACCAAGAAAATCTCTAAGACTGTAGGCATACTATCAAAGATAAGGTACTGCGTTCCACAATCAGCTCTCCTGGCACTGTACCATTCACTCATATACCCTTATCTCACCTATGGAATTTGTGCATGGGGATCAACAACATTCAATCACCTAAGACCTCTAACAACCCAGCAAAAGGAAGCACTCAGAATGATAACAAATTCCCACTCCCGCCAGCATACTCCACCAATTTTCAAAAGTCTGAATCTGCTCACCATTAAGAACATCCATACTTATTCATGTGCCTACTACATACCCAGAACAACACACGCAAATATAAACCCTCCACTCAAACTTCTCCTCACCAACCTTTGCAGGACACACGACCATAACGCAAGACACAGATCTCTTTTTGATATACCTCGTGTCCATATCACACTGTGTAAAAACTCTATGCACATAAAGGGCCCCAAAATTTGGAATTCATTACCAGATACTAAAGTAACCTGGTCTGAAAATCAATTTAAGACTCTTCTCAAAAGCCACTTAATCACCCTAGGCCTAGACTAAATGCTAAATACTCAGTACACACATGCTCACTTATGTATTCCCACATCATAATTTCAACAATTACTTTGAACCTTTTATCCACTGTTGACAGGAATATAACTGAATCATTGTTTTCACAAAAAGCAATTTTGAATATATGAATATATCTTTTGTCTTATATAAATCAGATTCACTTATAATTAATAATCTACTGTACAACAATGATATAATTAATATTCTTCTGTACAACTATGACATAATTCTTAGTGTTAAGTAGTCTGTAAGCCAATAATGTTAAGTCGGCCCATAATGCCTAAGCATAATAGAGGCTCTCTTTGCATTGGAACCCATTATTGTAAATACGAAATCTCAATGTACTATTTGCAAAGACAAATAAATAAATCATACAGAGCAGCATGTGGTATAGAGAACCTAGGATAACCCAAAAAAAAGTCAGTGACTTATTTCCATTGGGGTCGTTTTAATACCTTTTTTTTATTATACAATGTAAGAGATATCTTATTATTTATTATACTATACAGGATATATACTAGGAAAAAGGTAAATAGAGTTATTTACATGATATGATATGATTTCGTTCGGATTTTTAACCCTGGAGGGTTAGCCACCCAGGATAACCCAAGAAAGTCAGTGCGTCATCGAGGACTGTCTTAACTTATTTCCATTGGGGTCCTTAATCTTGTCCCCCAGGATGCGACCCACACCAGTCGACTAACACCCAGGTACCTATTTGCTGCTAGGTGAACAGGACAACAGGTGTAAGGAAACGTGTCGAAATGTTTCCACCCGCCGGGAATCGAACCCGGGACCTCCGTGTGTGAAGCGGGAGCTTTAGCCACCAGGCCACCGGGCCACATCTACAAATGTAGATTGCCCGTAATGCCAAGGCATGATAGTGGCTCTCTTTGCACTGCAAATCATTATTGTAATTACACACCGTAAACAATCTCGCTGTAAACTTGCAAAAAAATAAACATTTGAATCTGAATTGGAACCTAGCAACTAGTAAGAGGAAGCATGTTAGAGCAGTCATCCAGGTGAAAAAGTTTTCTGTGAAGCAACACTGAGAATAAATATGGAAACAAAACGTAGCTTTTTCAAAATATACATGAGATGACAAGCAAAATCTAAAACATCTACTATTATCCCCGTGTTTAAATAGGGTATTAATATGAATAAGAGAGAAATAAGTTAACTTAGTAAGAAAGAGGGGGTCTGGTGAAGGCTGTGTCAACATGGAGGCAGAGCAGAAGACTCACATCAACCCAGCAGATTATTTCAACCCGGATACCCCAGTGCATGACCGAGGGTTCCTAAGGAAGTTATGGTTTCCCTTCATCCTGGGTGCCTCCGGCTTTGGCATGGCTTGTTTCTTGAATATATATAACAGGAAACCGAAATTCAGCGGTGAGTGTAGTATCAGCTGGCTTAGGGCAGTTTAACCCCTCCATCCCTTGATGCCGGTGAGTGACTTGATCCGAGAACTGCACCTATCCCTTTCCTTGGATTACACCTGATTACTTTATATTCCTCCAGCCAGGTGCTGCGACCCCTACGGGTCCAGCGCTCCCCATGGATATAATTATGTTTGCATTATTATGCGTTCAGAGATAACTGGGAGACTACATTATTTCAGTGTGAATATATAGAGCTGATTTTATTTATTTATATATAATATATATTTATATATAATTATATATAATATATATATATAATATATATATATGTATATATATAATATTAATTATTAAAATATCGCCAAACATAAATAGGCCACACTGCTTGATTTTCTTAGATGAATAACCCACTGATAATAAACCGAATAATCTCTGCTTCAAGCATTATGTAATAGAAATAATTAATAATTCTATACATGTACATAGTAGCTGACATTAATGACATACTACTATATAGAAAGCCCCTGGTTACACACAGCATTTCAGGAAAATTAGGTCAATTTTGTCCCAGGATGTGGCCCACACCAGTCGACTAACACCCAGGTACCTATTTTACCGATAGGTGAACAAGGACAGCAGGCATCTATGAAAACACGTCCTAATGTTTCCACTGGTATTTATTTATATATGATACAATGTTTGTATAGAGATGGGCAACATTTGGTTGTACATGTAGAAAGGCCATGCTTATGCTGAGCATGCCCCTCAAGGGAGGTTCCTTGATGTAAAGTAAAAGGATGCAAGTGCAACTAATATGACATTTTTATTGTGGCAACATTTCGCTCTCCAGGAGCTTTGTCAAGCCGTAATGGCTTGACAAAGCTCCTGGAGAGCAAAACGTTGCCACGATTAAAATGTCATATTAGTTGCACTTGCGTCCTTTTACTTTACATATTGTTGGTTATTCTACCAACTTTATTACAGGTTCCTTGATGCTGGTGAGGGGCTCTTGATTTAGGGAATTGGATTTGTGCTCCAGTTCCCTGAATTGAGCCTGAATACCTTTCATCCCCCCCCACATGTGCTGTATAACCCTACGGATTTAGCACTCTGTGCCATGATTACTCTATATATCCTTGGTTAGGCCTCATTTACGTTATGCTGCACAGTTTTGGTCACCGTATTACAGAATGGATGTAAATGCTCTGGAAAACATACAAAGGAGGATGACAAAGTTGATCCCATATATCAGAAATTTTTCCTATAAGAAACTGAGGGCCCCGAATCTGCACTTTCTAGAAAGGTGTAGAATTAGCGGGGGATATGATTGAGGTGTATAAATGGAAAACAGGAATAAATAAAGGGGATGTAAATAGCATGCTAAAAATATTTAGCCAAGACAGGACTTGCAGCAATGGTCTTAAGTTGGAAAAATTCAGATTCAGGAAGGATACAGGAAAGCACTGGTTTGGTAACAGATTTGTGGATGAGTGGAACAAACTCCCAAGTTCAGTTATAGAGGCTAAAACGTTGTGTAGTTTTAAAAATAGGTTAGATAAATACATGAGTGGGTTTGGGTGGGTGTGAGTTGGACCTGACTAGCTTGTGCTACTGGGGCAGGTGCCATGCTCCTTCCTTAAATGAATGTGACCTGACCTGACTAGGTTGAGGCATTGGCTTGGGCTGGTGGGGGACTTGGACCTGCCTCACATGGGCCGGTGGGCCTGCTGCGGTGTTCGTTCTTTCTTGTGTTCTGAGCATTTTGTGCAAGCTTAAGCCTAACTTAAAACTATAATGGCAATAATTATTATTTGCTAATATTTATGGATATTAATGGTATTCGGACAACAAGCTTAGGCATTATAAATAGAACAAATAAGCAGACAACTATTTCTTGAAAGTTGAATTATGATTACCAGTAGTGAGAATAAGAATATACATACAGTGGTACCTCGGGTTATGAACTTAATTTGTTCCAGAAAGCTGTTCGAGTGCTGATAATGAACGAATTTGTTCCCAAAAGGAATAATGTAAGTTAGATTAATCCGTTTGACTCCCAAAAATACACTTACATAAATACATTTACATAATTGTTCGAGTTTTGAGCTGTTTGTATCCCGAGATACCACTGTATATAGTTTTTAACATATTTGTGGTTAAAAGAATTGTTTAGCAAATTCTCAAACACCAGCTGTGTTTTCATATTTGCCACAGATGCATGTTATTTTGCACATAGGGCAGTTTATAGTTATAGGATGTTATTCAGGGTACTAAACATAAGGTTTTTTAAATCAATGGAGGGTGTTTAGGTTTTGAAATAAGTGGAGGGTTGTGTGATTAGGCTACTGCCTATGCTGTGGATGGTAGCCTAATCAGACCATCTTAGGCAACTATCCACAGAGTGGATGGTTGCCTAAGATCATACAGATTGCCACAATTTTTGTTTTCAAACAAATTTGGAATACAGGTTGGCCATCACTAATCCGGCATCATTGGGACCAGCAGTGTGCCGGATTAGTGAGTTTGTTGGATTACAGAGTGGTTAGGTTAGAATACACTTGATAAAGTTGACCAAGCTGAGCTATTTCATATATTTTGGCCTTTCTTTGATTAGTTTATCCAGCAGCATGTAAACTTTCATTATTTCTTGTTCATTATGCATGAATGCCATTCCTAGTTTAATTTAAATTTTATAAATACACCAGATGTTAGTATTCATTGTGCAATGTTACCATATTCTTTTTTAACTATTATATTCCTGCAGCGCTGTATAGTCCTTGTGGCTTAGCGCTTCTTTTTGATTATAATAATAATAATAATAACTATTATATTAATATTTTAATATTTTTCTTTGCTGATGACACTGTGCTCTTGGGAGATTCTGAAGAGAAGTTGCAGAGGTTGGTGTATGAATTTGGTAGGGTATGTAAAAGAAGAAAATTAAAAGTGAATACAGGAAAGAGTAAGTTTATGAGGATAAAAAGATTAGGTGATGAAAGATTGGATATCAGATTGGAGGGAGAGAGTGTGGAGGAGGTGAATGTATTCAGATATTTGGGAGTGGACGTGTCAGCGGATGGGTCTATGAAAGATGAGGTGAATCATAGAATTGATGAGGGGAAAAGGGTGAGCAGTGCACTTAGGAGTCTGTGGAGACAAAGAACTTTGCCCTTGGAGGCAAAGAGGGGAATGTATGAGAGTATAGTTTTACCAACGCTCTTATATGGGTGTGAAGCATGGGTGATGAATGTTGCAGCGAGGAGAAGGCTGGAGGCAGTGGAGATGTCATGTCTGAGGGCAATGTGTGGTGTGAATATAATGCAGAAAATTCGTAGTTTGGAAGTTAGGAGGAGGTGCGGGATTGCCAAAACTGTTGTCCAGAGGGCTGAGGAAGGGTTGTTGTAGAGAGAATGGAGCAAAACAGAATGACTTCAAGAGAGTATCAGTCTGTAGTGGAAGGAAGGCAGGGTGGGGGTCGGCCTAGGAAAGGTTGGAGGGAGGGGGTAAAGGAGGTTTTGTGTGCGAGGGGCTTGGACTTCCAGCGGGCATGCGTGAGCGTGTTTGATAGGAGTGAATGGAGACACATGGTCTTTAATACTTGACGTGCTGTTGGAGTGTGAGCAAAGTAACATTTATGAAGGGATTCAGGGAAACTGGCAGGCCGGACTTGAGTCCTGGAGATGGGAAGTACAGTGCCTGCATTCTGTAAGTAAGTAAGTAAGTTTATTCAGGTATACACAAATACAGTTACATAGAATTATCATACATAGCAGCATATGTGCAGAGAACCTAGGATAACCCAAAAAAGTCAGACAGAGTGACTTATTTCCATTGGGGTCCTTTTACCTTATTATTATAATATAAAGGTTATAATATTTTCTTATTATTCTATAATGAAGATAACATCTTATTAAGATACTAAAAAGATTATCTACTACACGAGGGTCATTAAGACTATCTACAATACGAGATAGTATGTTAGCTAAAAAATAGAAAATCATTCCCCTCCCTTTCTGTAGCTACATTCGTCAGACACCTTTTGGCACTCTTCTTGAACTGGTTCATGCTATGACTGGCTTTGACATGTGCGGGTAGTCTGTTCCATTCCTTTATTGCTGTACAATAAAAGGTGTTTGAAGCCTGGCCAATGACTGGGGGTACTACAAAGTTGTGCTCTCTCCCCCTGGTACTATGATTGCTTTGGTTCCCAACCTTGACAAAATTGACAGCAAGATATTCTGGACACTGTTTGTGAGCAATTTTATAAACATGATTTAGCTTCATTGTTTTTACTCTGTCTTCAAAAATTCAGCTATCCAACTGCGTAATTCATCCGGGCCTACATGTTTCTCTTGGTCCCAAAGCCCCAGGATGAATCTTACGTTTTTGTTCTGGGTGATTTGCAGTCTATCTTTCAGTTTTTTGGTCAAGGCAGGGGTCCATGAAGAGCAAGCGTAATCCATATGGCATTGTAAAAGGGGCTAGACATAGGGTCCTGCGAGTCTCAGTGGGTAGACACTGTGCTTGTTATACAGGAACTTCATTTTTGGCATTCGCTTTCTTTACTACACTGTTCCCATCAATTCTCCTGACATCATGGGTCAAAGGGGATTCCCAGATATTTTACTGATGAAACCAAAGTGATGGACTCCCATTACACTGAACATTAAAATTTTTTTCCCTTCTCAGTTTATGTTTCGTGCCAAAGAGAATGGCTTCAGTTTCCCAGGTGTAATGATAGTTTGTTGTCTACTAACCATTTGCTGCAGGACTTCCAGTTCAGTGTTAAAACATTAGCTATATCTTGTGGGTCTTTACCTGACACTAACAGGGCACTGTCATCTGCATACAGTAGGAGTTCGCACTTGACACTGATAGGCATGTCATTGACATAACATAAGAATAATAAGGGACTCAGAATACTACCTTGGGGAACTCCACATGTTATCGCCAGGGGTTCTGATTCCGCTTTGTTGATTTTGACTATTTGTCTCCTGTTGCTAAGGTAGG